ATGTATTGGTGCCAGTAGAGTCATTACTTTTAAAAATTCATTACTTTGTTGTACTTACTGGAATGATCTTTTTAATATATTCAAAGTCGTCGGTTTCTTCGTAGTAACTCAAAGCCATCAGTATGAGCATTGGTGGTTGTGATCTGTTTAGGTAGTATGATCGTCCACCATTCGGCATGAAACCGAATTGATTCACCAGCGATATGATATTGTCGATGACACCACGAGCCGTGGCCTTCATGTCACATAGCATAAGTCCATTAACAATCCAGTACGTGTCCCAATAATAAAGCTCCCTAAATCTACCACCGGGTATGAAAAACCCGTTTGGAACCCATATCAGCGAGTACTGTTCGGGATGGATTCTCACGTCGTCTTTGACTTTCCTCGCCAAAGTTTTCCACACCTGGTTCAATCCCAACGCCCACTGTTTGTAGTTCTGGTCTCTGATCCGGTTGGCGATCGATGGGTTTTCGCTAAAGTCCGGAGGATTCCATGGCTCCAACTCGTCGCCGTCTTCTAAGTGCTCGTCAATGAACTTGACCAACTCATCCATCGTGGGCACGTTACCATTGTTAGTGTCTTTCAGTGTTTTATAATCGGTTAAAATTTCATATTCGGTACATTTCAGCTTCTTATCCACAAACGTTTTCGAATCCGGATAAATTCGTGCTAGTTGTACGTCATGCATGAATTCGCTTTCGCAGTAGAGTTTGCTTTAATTCAAACAATCACAAAGTTAGACAAAGATATAACGAATTTATTATATTATACATTATGCCATATAATAAGGTTGTTATTTTGATTTATAGGATATATATCCAGTGATCGTGTTGAKGAGGAAGGTGCGCTCGGGGACGGAGTTCCCCTATTATGTACCCCCATTATATTTTTTCACTGGAACGGGGAACGGCCCAAACTTTTGAACAAAATAATTTTTATTAACATGTGACTGACATCAATTATATAACGATATCGAATTTTACAATTTTAAGCATAAAAATTATTTTGACATTATAGTTTTAAGAGGRCGTGATACCCGCATGTGTTGTCTCCGTCTTACAAATGCGTAACATGGTACGTTTTTCGCTCAGCAAAACACGTGTAGCTCCGTTAACTTAAAAATTAGAGTGAACTGACCTCTTATAAAATTTAAAGGTAAGATTATTATCCAGAAAACCTCATATGCTTT